AAGCTGATCTGAAATCTTATGTTGACCTTCACAATCAGAGGTCCTACTGTATATTTGACAAGGACATTTGGGTGTCTATTAGACATTTTAAACCTATCATTTCCCCAGCCAAACCTAGTTGTCTTTCCCATTTCGGCACACGGCACCTGGAATCTACTTGGGGGCTCAGGCCCCAAACCTAACAGACATTCTTGATTCCTCTTTATACCACAACATCTTCGTGTTGGCTCTACTTTCAAATATATACTCTTTTCCAAATATGGCCACTATTCGATATTCTATACTTCCCTAGGCAAAATTACCTCCATTTCTTACCCTGATTACTGGTTTTCCCATTTCCACTGCCTAAAATCCATTCTCCATTTGGCATCCAAAGAGATATTGTAAAATAGGAACCCATTTCAGGGCTGCATTATGACTTTTGGGGCCTTAGGCACTTTTGCCTTCATAAGTCCCTTCTTTCATTAAAAGAATATTACAAATTCTATTTGATGGCTACATTGGTATAAAGTTGAATATATTAACATTACATATTAAAACATTGTATTAGACCCAAAAGATTTTTCTTGTGATTTCAAAAGAAATTAACACATTTTTTGTGGATCTCTAAAATCACTGTGGGTCCTGGGCATGGAGTCTACAGTATCTCATGACATGCTGCTTCTTATTACAGCCCACCAGCTCCCTTACTTAAAGTCCTTTGACTGTATAAGTCAGGGGTCCTCAAACTTTTAAAACAGGGGGCCAGTTCACTGTCCCTCAGACCGTTGGAGGGGCGGACTATAGTTTAAAAAAAAACTATGAACAAATTCCTATGTACACTGCACATATCTTATTTTGAAGTGAAAAAACAAAATGGGAACAAATACAATATCTAAAATGAAGAACAAGTAAAGTTAAATCAACAAACTTACCAGTATTTCAATGGGAACTATGGGCCTGCTTTTGGCTAATGAGATGGTCAATGTCCGGTTCCATATTTGTCACTGCTAGTCGTAACAAGTGATACAAGTGTGCATCAGTTAGTCTAGATCTGGTTGGAGATTTCAGATGTTTCATTCTGGAAAAAGTCTGTTCACAGACATAAGTGCTGCCAAAGATGGTTGCCATTTTGAGTGCATGGTTCCTGAGATTACTGAGAGGAGGAGTCGAGAGACAGAGAGAGACAGAGAGAAGGAGGGGAGTCGGAGAGTGCGGTGCACATTCCACACATGCGCACTGCGGGCCTGGATGAGTCGGCTGCTAGGCAGGATAGGCAGCGGCGGCAAAAACAGCTCGTGGGCTGGATAAATGTCCTCGGCGAGCTGCATGTGGCCCGCGGGCCGTAGTTTGAGGACCCTTGGTATAAGTTGACAAGTAGAATGAATCCCAAAGCCCTTGCCAGAATCCTTACTTCCTATATGAGTTGGCCAGAATCTATTTCTATCTTTCTGAACCCCTCTCCAGATACTTCCCTGTTCACTCTGCCCTGGTCACACTGGCCTCCATCTGTCTCTTGAAAAGAATAAATTTGATTCTGTCAGAGTCCCTTGTACTTCATTTCACTCAACTTGGAACATATTCCCTCCAGATTTTCAATGAGTCACTCACATGGGTGTTTTCCATGGGTTTTCCATGGGTTATGCAAATATGGAAGAGGATGGGAAGAGGATGGCTGGGCTTGAGAAATCTTGCTGGTTCTCTACTTGAGAGGGTTGTCTGCTAGGTAAGGGTGACCCAAAAGCAGGAGGCAGGGGACTACGTTACCAGAGGAAGAGCTAAGGAAGGTGAAAGAGCTGGTGATATCAGAGAAGCAGCAACCACCAAGGAGAGGACTCAATCACAGTGAGTCAGGTAAAGATGTTTGCTGTCTCCTTTTTCCTCTGTTTGATCCCAGCCCACTGGAGGAGCTGGAGCTCAGAAGAGGGAGAATATTTAAATCAGACAGAAGAGTCTAAGTTTTAAATTAAATTGCATTGATATGTATTTGTCAGAAGAACAAGGCACCCAGCTCCAAGGCCAACATCTTCCCACACCAGTCTCTGTCCCAGCTCTTAATCTTGTTTACTCTTGTCCTGGGAGCTGGTTTATTTCCTCCCCTAAGGAAACACCAGACTAAAAACACATGTGTTGTTCATTTGCCATAAATGGCCTAATGTTTACTGCCTATGTGCTATGACCCCACACCACCAAAAGGATTTTTAAATACCCTTCCTCTATTGAAGGCCCTCAGAATGCTGACCCAGCCAATGAAGACAACACAGGAATCACATGAAAACCCAGAGAGATGTAGGGAGCTGTAGACCCACCTTTGTCCCTAGGCTAATAAGGATTCTATATAGCACTTTGATGGGTTTAACAATTGAAGGTGACTAAACATGCTTGTTTGCCCAGGACATACCTGGCTTATGCCTGCTGTTCCAGCCTCACTGTTCATAGAACTTCCTCCCAGTTAGTCTGAAAAGAATCCTATTCTGAATGATAAATGAAATGGCTACTATATCAAGCAGCCATAGAAAATGATCAAGGCAACTTCAAGGCATCCTTAAGCTGGTGCATGACAAGAACAAAGAAAAAAGGCAGACATGAACAGCAGCAGAACCCAGACAAAGCAAGAAGGAAATCCAGGCCAGTGCAGGACCTCTGTCTGCTAGCCTCTGTGGCTGAGAGCTCCCGCCAGCCCTCAGTGAGGAAGTGCTGAGGATGGCTGTCAGAATTCCTTCAAACATCCGGGAGAGCTGTCATTTGTCTTCAGTTAGCAGACAGTAGAGAGTCATCATTCTAGGGCAAGTGCCATCTTCAATAAATTCTGAGCTCAGTATCTTCTGTAGGGGCTGTTAGAGAAAGATCAGTACATTGAAAGATCAGGGACTCAAGGTACCCCTTCAGGTTTCCTTTCCCACTGAGGAGGTAGACTGGGTGGGTTTGAGACCCGCCTGGGCAACTTGGCGAGACCTCATCTCTTCAATAAATCAAAAATCAGCCGGGTGTGGTAGCGCATGCCTGTAGTTCCAGCTACTTGGAAGGCTGAGGCAGAAGGATCGCTGGAGCCCAGCAGGTCAAGGCTGCGGTGGCCGGAAGTGGCCACTGGACTCCAGTCTGGGCGACAGAGTGAGACTCCAATTCAAAAAAAAAAAAAAAAAAAGAAACACACTTTGGGAAATGTGGTTCTACAGTCAAGTATGCTTACAATGTATATAACTAATATATGTAAAGCACTAATTACACTACTAATACCATGAATTCTTTTTCTTTCAACCGCAGTGATAGTTTAATATTACCCTTTTATTACCACTGAAAGGATATATTGTATTACAATTATTGTACAATTTTCTCTTACTGTTCTATGCGTTAACCTGTATGTAACATATGGGTACTATTCTTTAGTTATGCTACAAATACTTGTAAAGTTTAGTTAATATTACTTTGATATTATCAAAATATTTAGCTGATATTTTCACTTTGTGCCCTTGTCTAACTTTGTGGAAAATCAGTATAAAAAAATCAAGGAATTTCATAAAAGGAGCATTAAAAAAATCAGTTCTGGTCTAGGTGTTCGGTGAACTTTTTTCACGAAGCTAAAGCAAAACAAGTAAAACCTCCAAATACCAGACACAGAGATGGAGACCTCTCTTCTTCCTCAGGCTAGATTCCTGTTAGATTCCAAAGCAAATTGTACTGGAACTCAGAAGATTCTTGGCGGCCCTGCACCTCCTTGCTATGCATAGTATTTCTTATGTGATTTTAAGAAAGTACTATGTTTGTACATTTCTTGAGTGCCTTATCAGAATTATTCTTCTGAAAAGTTCAAGAAACTCAAGCAAAAAAGCACTTGGAGACTGTTTAGGGCGTAGTGCTTTACTAGAATATCCTCACAAATTGTCACAATGCAGGTTGAAATCACCTGGAGTGCAAGCACAGCAAACATCTGCCTTATATTTCATCTTCTTTCTCCCCTGATTCATTTAGAAAGAAGTGCTTAGGCTGAGAGATATAATAGAAACACAGAGGAAGCCAAAGTCTTTTCTTTATGTGCTGTGATTATTATATTGATAAAACACTCATAAAGGCCTTTATTGGAGTGTAGGATTCAGATCCACTTTGCATTCTTAAAATTTTCATTTTTACCACTATACCTGACTATTCGTGCCTATAGCTTAGAGCCCAGGGAAAGGGGTTCTTTTAAAGCTAGTGGGAAAAAAGGATATACTGGTTTTTCTTACAGTAACTTCCAAGTATTTTTACTATAAAATACGTGATAAAGTTTCCGAATTGAACAAGGAAGTAATTCCCTGAAAACACACTGCAAACTATGCAGAATAATTTCTGATCAGGCTGTATGACTGTGCCAGGCTCAAAACAAGTGGTTATTCTGTTGTGACATCTGCCGAGCAATGCGTCCATTGTTCTCTGGAATTTAATTCATTTTAAACTACTCCATCCAAATGATAAAACATGAGATGTGCTATACTCTGAGGGTAAAATGCTATGATTGTTTTTAGTGTGACCACAACTGTTAGCTGGGAAGCAAGACAGCTTGCTTTAATTAGGCCCTGATTATCATCTTCTGAAAAATAGCTAGTTCTAAAAATGTGAGTGAAAACTTGTTAAATCGAAGGATTTGGATAATCAGTCTTGACTACTTTGATGTAACTGCAAAGTTAGCAGAATTATATGGAAATACTTCCTATAAAGTAGGACAACAGTCTTTGGTAGGGTAACTATTTCCAGATCTAAATGCACCTCGGGACACTGGTTACCACAAGGTATATTTTAATATATGTATCAATATATTCGACAAATTATTTTTCTGTTCAAGGACTACTGTGCAAATGTCTCCAAATTCAAAATTTTATGACCGCCTGTCTAAGAAGTGTTGTCAAAGTTCCTAAGAGTTATATGTAGTGGGAACACTACAATGTGGAAATGTTAACAATTAGGCATTGAAAAAAAAAACCTGAAAACAACAACAACAAAAAAACCAAGGCGAATCTCAGAAGAAAACACACACATACACATAATTCATATGTCCTGTATGCCACATATTTAATATAAACCTTTGAAACAAATTCAGATGAAATAAAAATCAAAGTTTCCAAAAAGGTGAAAGATTAACTTAATTGCCAAATATTCCCCATTGCCCCAAACATCAGTATGTTTTTTTATTTCTATGCAAAGTATACCTTCAAACTGCTTAAGTGATATGATACACAAACCAGTTTTCAAATAATAAAGCCAGTCATCTTGCAATTTTAAGAAAGTAGGTAAAAGATTATATGACACATAACACACATCACGCACACACATACAAACACACATGTGCACACCAATGACAAAAAAAAATTTGGCCTCTCCTAAAATAAGTACATGAAGACCATTAAGTGCCACTAGGAAGGAACACTGTGTCACCCTTCCCTACAATCCAGGTAATTTCCTTTAATCCAATAGCAAATCTGGGCATATTTGAGAGGTGTGATTCTGACAGCCACATTGAAATCCTGTGGGGAGCCATTCATGTCCACCCACTGGTGACCCGAAAAGATGCCAATAATTTTTCGCTCCCATTTCTGCTGCTGTCTCTTCCACATCCTCACGTAGACCCCTGACCCGCTGGCCCCAGGCTGGGCATCACACTGCTGGTAGAGCAGGTCATAGGTTTCGTCTTTGACATCGCAGAAGCGGTACACTAAATTGCCTGGTCGGTCATTGTCATAACCAGAGAAGTGGATTCTGCCTCCTGGCAGCTGTTTAGCGGGAGGACTCACTCCAATATTCATGAATTTTCTCTTGTGGGGTTTTTTGAGTTCCAGGAGGGCATAGTCATAATCCATGCCAATGTCATTGGCATTACCCTTGATCCATCCCTTGGGTACATGGGTGCGTTTCACCCGGATCCACTGAAATTTCATCTTTTCAGGCATAGCTGAGCTGGAGTCATTGGCACCTCGACCACCATCTTTAAACTTGGGCTTCAGGAAGCCCACTCGAAGTTTCTGGGTTCCTTTCACATAGGTTTTTCCATCATGTATGCAGTGGGCAGCTGTAAGGACGTGCTTCTCTGCCACCAGGGTGCCAGTGCAGCCTGTAGATAACTTCACTGATGTTGAGAACGGGTAGTTGAGCAAGAAGTCCTTCCCAAAAATGCTGAATCTGCTGTCATAGCCATAAATCTGCCGCTTCCTCCGAGACTTCCCAGAAGACTCCCTGTCTTGGTGTTGGGCCCCACCTCGGCCGAGGATATAAATGCCCACCTGCGTCTCTGTGCGGCTGCCATTGGCATAGAGCGTTTCATAAGACAGATATTGCTTGGCTTCTTCATACGTGGGCAGTGGAGCTCCTTTATGACACTGGGGTCCGCATGGAGAGGACACCTCCAGTTTGGCTTCAGCCCCAAAGTCTGGCTTGGCTAAGTTGAGGGTAGCCTGGGGCAAGACAACAGGGAGGTGATAAGCAGGCCACGTAGGTTTCCAGGGGACACCATAAGGGTTCCCCTGCCCAACAGCGCAGAGCAGGAGGAGGAAGAGAAGGAAGAGGAGTCCTGGAATCCCCGCCATGCTGAGCACCATTCTGTAGAAACAAAGACAAGCAGGTCAGGAGGGCAAGGGCTGAATGTTCACTTACTGCAGACAGATGAAGACCAGCAACATGCCTGTCATTGTTTCTAAGTCTGTGAACCCTCCTCAGGAATCTGGGGATGGAGAAGTAATGGTAATGATCTCCCAAAGCAAGGGCTTGACTTGGGACCGTCCCTGTGGCTGGGTGCCCAAAATGAAATTGGGTGCTCATTCCCTTCTGTTTGAGATACCCCTCAAGATGGCACACTTCAGAGCACATACTACAGTCATTAGTTCCTAGATAAACTGACTGCCAGCCCCAGTTTCCATGTAATTTTGAGCCTTCTTTGTGCTTCATTCAAAAACCTCATCCTCTCCTACCTTCCTGACTCCCCTGCTTTTCTTGACTTCTTCCCTCTCACTCTCATATAACATGTACTTGGAAAGTTTTCAGGGAAACTTGCTCATTTAGAGGGTTACTGAGTGACTGAAACATCAAGAAGGGACAGCTGCACAGTGTGACTTACCAGGACTCCTACTGCATTCAAAAGAGGGTATGAGACTTCTGTGGGATTTTTGCTTTGAAATTAGAACAACCTTATTATTATATATTTAGTTCCAGGGTAGCCTCTAAAATAATATTCCTTCTTCCTTTGGATTATGTTGTCAATATCCAAAGCTCTAATACTGCAGCAGCTATAACAAACATTGACTGTTACCGTTGGTTACTTTTTCAGCTGTTTGTATCTGTAATCTAAATGCCTTGAATTTGGGCCCACACTAACAAGCAACAAAGATTTACTAGATGGATGCTTATATGAACGGAAGAGTGAATGAGATGTATGTTTTGAATGATGCATGCTAAAAACAGAGATGTACACGGATGATGTGGTAGCTCAGAGGAGGGGTATACGGTCAGTTGTGGGGAGTAAGAAGAACAGGGGAAGCATTCCAGGGGAGGTGATGCTTGAGAAATATACCCTCTTCCAAAGGCACCCATTATTTAGAAGCGATAGGAGCCCTAGTAAGCTATTCCAGTCACTCAGCTGTGTAATGTAAAATTATTCTTTAAATGAGTGAGTTGCCCTGAAAAATTTCCAGGTATCATCTGATGCTTGAGATGGGTGGTGAAGTTGGAAAGAAGTTTAATAAAATAAGACAGAGAGAAGGGAATACTTGGACAAGAAGAACAACAGTCTGGGCAAGGGCACAGAGACATGCAGCAGTGTCTTTTCAGGAATTGTCCTTAGCTCAGCAAGGGTGGAACAGAGGAAGTGGTGGAGGTAGCAGGTAAGGGCTGGGTTATGAAGTTCTATAGTACTAAATGAAGGAGTTTGGATTTTATACTGAAAGGTACTTTAAGCACCCAGATCAATCACCCCACAAGAAAAACAACAAACAAGATGATTGAAAGTGTTTTCATAAATGTTTAAGCATCAGTTGGCTCTGACTGGTTCTGAAAGTTCTGATTCAAAAGAAGCCACCTCAGTGGGTGGGGCAATTCATTCACAATCAAGCATCCCAAAATAAGGACAACGAGGAGTAGGTCTTAAGAGAGTAGTGGAACACAGTAGGATGCAGCAAGAAAGTTTCATTATTCTCAGCCTCTTCTGCTTTGAAGGTACTGGCAACACTGGGTGCCTTTTGCTTTCTTTCATACAGTGATCTGATCTAGTTTAACTGAGCATGCCAATCCTCATTCCCCACATCCATACACTATATTTTTGAAATATGTGTGTACCCCACCTTCCTCTCAGATCTTTTTGCTCAACTCTTTCTCGTGAATTTTACTTCTGTCAGGGAGAAGAGGGACGGGAAAAGAAAAGAATGAAGTCCTGGAAAAGCCAGTTCCTTGAGACTTCCCGATCTCTTGAAACTCTGCTTTTCTCCATCTTTCCAAATAAGAAGGGTTCTTGGGACATTTTGTGGGAGGAAATACATTTAATCATTCCTTTAAATCCTTGAACTCATGGGGTGTTTGTATGTACCTGTTGGGTGTACCTACAAGATGCCTGTTGGGTGTACCTCTGATGCTAGCAGAGTCCTCCTCCCCAGTGGGGACCTGACAATGGGATGAGTGTGATGACAGCCCTCTAGGAGATCTGTGGGGCAGGGCTCTAGCCTGATTATTCCCACTTACTAGCTAAGGATTCAGCTCTTGGATTTATCCAGGGCTTGAACAGTCTTTTCTTTATTTAAGTTTCTGTCTAGGTGACTCCATGCCATACTCACACCAGAATCCCTGCCAAGTATGACACGTAACAGGAGGAATCAAGAGTCTCCCACATGGCTGTATCTTGGACCCCAACACGCCATCCTCTCCTTCTTCTGAGTAATGTGGAGAATGCTAATGCGGCTTACATTGAGCAGCAGACATGGTAAGTCAAGTTTTACTTCAGCTTATCTTAAGAAAGAGAAAACACAGAATCCAGAGGTCTAAGCTGCTAAGTGTCCCTGTTTTTAAAATATAATTCTTAGGGGGGAGAGAGTGTAAGATGAGGTAGTATTATATTGTGCATTATCATCAATTATAGGTTATATTTTCAAGGTGTACAAAGAACATGCCAGTTACAATAAGCTAATATTATCATCTTTTGGGTCTTCAAATCTCAAAAGCACTGATTTCCATCAGTTGGAAACACTGCTTACAAGTTCCCTGTATTACTACTTAAACGCTATTTACTAACTTATGTGATAAGACTTGTTCTGACAGCATTACATATCTTGCTTAAAGCTTCTATGGAACTCTGAAAATTATAAAATTACATCAATAATTTAAAATTCAGATTTAGAAACTAATGCAGGTGGAAGTATTGTGAACTGATTAGGTTTTTAAATACCTGATCAGAAATTGGGAGACATAGCTGTGGGTTCTCAGGTCCTCAAACAGGTTTACACTGACATCTGTATTAAAGTTATAAGCTTCCTAAGTTGTTCACTCCTTTACCAAATCTTTATTTGGGATGGCTTAGACACTTCTGAAAAGCAACCTCAACCAGATGATCTCTTTAACTGGTCTTTTCAAGGTTAAGATTTCTTCACTTTATAATTTTCTGGGATCACAGAAGTCCAGGCCAGGGACCATGTTGTTCACAGTGTCTGCACCATCATTTACTGCTCAGGAGCCTTTACTCATGGAATGATGGAGGTTGGAGGAGCATGGAAAAGAAAAATGTATCCCACTAATCTCCTACCTGTCTGACAGACAAGATTTCCCTGATCAGTCTGCAAAGGCAACTGGTGGTTTTCCAGAACTGAACAGAGGGATGGCTGGATGTGAATGCTCTTAGAATAGGTCCCAAAGAGAAGTGTGAGGGGGAAACAACCCTCTTGTCCAATAGGAGTCTTAAACGAGGCATCCATAGCCCACTCTGACTCATTCTCATGAATAACACAAAATGACAACTGAGATGCTTTAAATTAGGTTGATGGCTTTGCATTAATTTTTCAACTCACCTGATAATGAAATAATTCTCCAGAAAACAAATAATTATTGTTTCTAGTTTTACAAATGCTAGGTAAGTCTTTTCCATGCCCATTTAAATTTATTTCAACATAAACACTCTAAGACCTAAACACATGTAATAAAAAAATCATAATCCTACAACTGGAAAGATAACTAATGGGTTCCATAATTCTAAATTCTCTCTCACCTTTACAAATGAATCACTTTATCCCTGTAGAGCTGCCTGGAAAACTCACACCTTTAAAAAAGGAAGGAAGGTTTCCAAATCTTATCCTCATCATTCTTAAATCTGGATGAAGAAAATTTAGGTCTACAACGTTTCATTTCTAGGCTTAAGCTTTTGCTGCATAAAGATTCCTCATATACATATATATCTGTTAAAGTTTCCAACTAAATATTTTCATGCATCACTTAATTAACTAAATGTCAGGGCAGAATGGAAAATTAAGGTAAGCAAATAATGTTCCACCATGCTTAGCAATACAGAAACTGTATTCCTTTTCCAACTCCGGGTATCTGATTCATAACAGGGCTACACTTCCATCCTCCGTCACTCAATATGAGCCACTATCTAAAAATGTCTACACTTTAAGAGGATGCTTTCACTTCATGAGCCCTCTGTGGCGGGACTCTGCATGGCATCAGATGTGCAAACAACAATAGTCTCTTTGGAAACCAGGTACTGCAACTGCTGTCTCTTGCTCTGCACCTTAGTCTTCAAAACTGCAACAACACAGGTCTCCTCAAGAGGGCCCGTGCGTGAAAGAATGACAACTCCCAGAGCAAACAAGTGCTGGCAGCAGGGTAAACCTAATCTTTGGGACATACATTCTCTATTGTACAGTGTCTGAATTCCTGCAACTGCTATAAACAGTAATGACAGAAAAAAGCGGAAGAAAAGACTGCAGAGAACACAGGTTTTGGACACCATTTGGAAGGATGACAAATGGGCTTCCATGGAATCGGTGGCTAGGGATACTGAACAGTGAAACCATGCTAATTCCTAAAGCAAAGGCCTAAAAATGAACAAAACTCCGTGAATACTCTGCAGCCGGGCTTGCTCTCATTTTCCTGAGTCACAGAACCTGTTAAAGCAAAACAGACCTCATCACATAATGGTTTAAGAATTACATTCTTGTCAGGAACCTGCAGGGCACTTACAAGTCCAGCAACCCTAAACACAATCTTGTGGTCAAACGAAGCTTAACTTCTAGATCAGATTTTAGGCAAACTGAACTGCCCTTGTGAGCCAGAGACAAACCTGGCAATAGAACAAGAACAGAGTGCACAAAACTGTCAATGGTGAGTCCATGAGAAATGAATTCCCTGGAGTCAGTGGGAGTTACGCATGAATAATGCCTGGTGGCTTAAACCCTAAGGGATCTATGAGAAGAAATGTGGGGAGAACCTGAGACTATTAACCACTGCAGACTGGGGCCAACAACGTTCCCAGACACACTAATGGGCACTTTGGCACTCATGCCACAGACAGAAAAATGCACCCACATTTACCATCTGCCTGAATAACTAGTCAGTGTTACAAAAAATGGGATCCATATTAGTTACCTTGGAAAAATGCTTCCTTCCCAATTCAGGTGCAAGACAGCATGACAAGTTACCTCTTGACTTTATTTTAATCGCAAAAACACCGCTGAAACAGTTTATTCATATGCCAATGATTGTGTGCATATGATCACACACACTTCGCAAGTAAACACAGTGGCTTCTGGGCACCTTCTAAGTTCCTTCTCCTCACTCCACTTTCCATCCTCTGCCAACAGACTTCTTGAAAGACACAGTCATAGGACCCATGGTAAACGCTCTCACGAAATACCATGCAATAAATACCTGATATTACTTTGGCATAGGGCTTTCGGTCCCAGCTAGATTCATCTAGAAATTTAGTTCTTTCTCACACAGCACACGAAGAGGATTCTGGTGTTAGCCTACCTGGTCCTAAGCAGCACACAGACAGCCCTCAAGTTTAGTTTCAAGAGCTGAGAAGAGCCAGCCCTGCTCCAACACTGTTACTGAACCGCCTGGAGCTTTGCATCAGCCAGGACGGTTTTTGAATTCTCATGGGTGTCGCCCAAAGGGCAATAAAACACACAGGATTTTTGTTGTTGTTGTTGTTGTTAACCAGCTGCTTTCTCCCGAGGAGCTGGAAAGCAAACCTAAGTCGTATTCTGGAGGGGAGTGGCGATGTTCCTTGATCTGAATGTCTCCTCCCTCTCCTTTTAGAGCATAAAAAGTTAACTGGGGATGGAAACCTACAAGGGAAGAAATATTTGCTTCCACCAACTGTTGAAAGTTCAGACTGTTTCTAGGGTGACGGCCATCACTTACGCCTCCAGAGTTAAGTTCTATCTCCCAACCTAAGTCTGAGCCACTTTTGCACTTTCTTGCTAAGGTGTGTTCACAATCACATGCCCAGGGTTAAAAATTCCTGTTCGGAACTTGATGGAATCGCACATACGCACAACTCAAGTAAAAAGAGTGGCGGTGGAGGTGTGTGGAGTGGGCGGGGGTGCTGCCGTCGCCCCCGAGGAGAGCTTGCCCAGAGCCGGCTTCCTCTACTCCCGCCCGTCACCCTGCACCTAAGACGGCAGTCTCAAAACCTCCTGTCCCCACCAGCCTCGTGGGTAACCCTGTGTGACCCCACATGCCCTGCAGCCCCTGCGGCTCCTTCCGGCCCCCAGTCCCAGCCCCGGAGCCCCGCGAGCCCCGCGAGTGGCCCAGAGGGGGTCTCCGGTACCTTCAGCAGCGGCAGCCGTCCCACCGCGCCACGCCGGCCCTTTGTCCGGCTGCTCCCGCGTCTGCTCCCCGGCGCCCCGCGCCCGGACTCGCCCGCGCCCGCACTCACCCGCGCCGAGCTCCCCGCCCGGCCGCGGCTCGCCCCGCCGCTCAGACAGGTGTGGGCGCCGGGAGGGCGCGCGCGGCTCC